CCATCCCTTCCAGGCAAGTCCCTTCCCAGCCCTTTCCTCTCGTGCTCTGAGCAACAAAGGAGGAGAAAGGAAATCTGATGGACGCCACTATTCAGGACTGATGCTTGGTCACCTGCCTGTGCCCCTTCATGGCTACCCCGGGGATCTCTGGGCTCCCCCACCTCCTGCCAAAGTGTAAACAAACCAAGGCTGCTTGAGCTCCCTGAATAGCACTGCCCTGTTGCTTGGCCACATATAAAAGCGTCTCATACCTCCAGCAGAGACCCAGAGTCCCACAGGGAGGGACATCTGGAGAGTAAATATGCTCCCCTGTGCTGAGACCACTATATCTCATTACACCTGATTTTTAAAATGCTGGTCCATTCATTATTTATAGTAACAAGTTTGGCCAGAAACTTAGATGGGCTCTTACAGGAAAAGGGAGCAAAAACCCAGGGATAAAGAATGAAATGAAAAGAGGAGTCATTAACTTCACTTGGGTGACACGAGCCTGAAGAAAACCACAGGGGCCAGTGAGCGTCGTTGCAGAGAGCAGGGGGTTTGGGCGCTCTGTTTGAACATGTAATAACAATCACAGCCAACATTCAAATGGGCCAGGCACTATTCTAAGCACTTGACATATGTTTATGTATTTCATTCTCAAAATGATGTATAAAATAGGTGCCATTATTATCTTCTGAAGATTATTTAACTGAGGCACAAGGAGTTAAAGTAACTTGTCCCCAGGTAATATAGCTCTTACCATCCACTTACATTGTATTTTCTATGTTTAGAAAATACAGTTCGTTTCGCACAGGAAGTTTGAAGTTTCCCGTATAATACTTTATCTAGTAAATATTATCTCTTCAAGCACCTATATTTCTTGACAAAGTATTGAAGCATTCACAAAGTTGAATATAGCTTAATTAGTTTACTATGTCACATCTAAAATATATCTTTGATCTTATGTGTTCTTACATTTTACAAATTTTTTGCCACACTATGAGATTCAAAACAGAATTGGCTTTTACTCGTACATTAATATTAATGCATCATCTTGACTATGTTAATCAATAAAATACATTCTAGAAGTAGGTAGGAGGGTGAATGCATGTTAATTACTTCAAATGTCTTAATTAACTTCTGCTAGTAATACAGCAATTAACATTTAAAAATGTTATAGAAGATACATCAGTTTTCTATTGGGTCATGTTGTTGAGCATCACTGAAATCCCATGAAATGGGGAGGTTTAGACCCAAACGTTCAAAAACTTCTAATCTCAATGAGAAAAACAAGTAAAACTAAGGTTGTAGACTCATGGCAGCATATTTCCCTCACACACATCTGCTTCCTGGCTAACTGCTCCTTTCCCTCCTGTCCCCAGGTCCCTCTGCACAGCAGGAGGCACAGCGTGATAATAATCACTTCTGAAAGTCCTTGAGGATATTGGTCTAGCACTGCTGAGGGAGTCAACCTTTCATTCATTTTTCTAAACCTTCTCTGTTTCTGAGCCCTGGGAGAGAAATTATGGTGGGTGCCTGCTGACCAGTCTGGACCAAATGCAGAGACCAGGGTAAGTAAATAGAGCCATTTCAGAAGCTAGCTCCTATGGTAAATTAAAGATAGCTACTCTTTTTTAAAAAGGGCAGACCCCAGAGGTAGAGTCCATTTTCCCTTCTCTTGAGTCTGAGTTGGTCCTGTGGCTTGCTTTAATCAGGAGAAAGCAGCAGACACGAAACAGTCACTCCCAAGGTCGGGCCTTAAGATCTGTGACTTCTGCTTTCTTGGAACCCAACCCAATATTGTGAGATGTCTAAGTTACATAGGAAGAGAACTGAAGCACTAGTTGACAGCCCCAACTGAGCTCCCAGCCAACCGCCAGCACCAAGAATGAGTGAAATGAGTAAGCCCTCCTGGATGTCTCAATCCAGTCAGACCTCTGGATGAAGTCAGCTCCAGATGATGCCACATGTGCAGAACCTCCCAGCTGACCTCAATCAACCCAAAGGGGCAATAAATGATAGTTGTTTACACCACTGATTATTTGAGATGGTTTGCTATGCAGCAATAGACAGCCAATGCCTTTCTAGACCATCTTAGAGACCAGGTTGAAACCAGTTGCTGCTTGACTCAAAAACGTGAGGTTGGCTACGATGGAGTTGAGAAGAACCCTTTCCAGTATAAAGCATGGCAGCTAAGACCATGGACCTAGGAACCAGACTAAGCTTGAATCCTGATTTTGCCTTTTACTGGATATGTATCAAGTGGAAGCTCCTTTACTTTTCTGTGCCTCAGTTTCCCTTTGTATAAAGTAGAGATAGTAATATTCCCTATCTCTTAGGTTTGTTATTAAGATTAAATATCAATATTGGTACATACATGTAGAGCACTTAGAACAGTGCCTGGCACAGAGTAAGAACTCAGAAAATGTTCTCATTATTTATTCTCTAGTCAGTTTTATGTTCAAGAAACCACCCGCTCAAAGCTATGTGAAGGCTCTATACTTGGGACAGAAGGATGTGGAAAGTGAAGGTGAGGGCCACAACATGCTGCTTATTCGATGTCTGCCATACCACAGTGACTGTAATAAATGCTAAAGCTAACTGACCTCACAGCAGCACAGGAGAAAACCAAAAAATCAGAGTAAATGCTCCGTTTATGGGTCATTCATAACAGAAATGTCTGACAATTATTCAAACTTCATTGAGGATAAACTACTCCCAGGTATAAGGATCCACACTTTGGGAACTTTATAACTGATTTCTGTCCATTAAGAGGATTGAGCTTTACATACATACCCTGCAGTCCTGGAAAGCTCTTTTCTCTGGCATGATCTAAGCTATCATCACACTCATATCAACTTTGTTTTTAAATATTATTTTCTAGGTCACTAAAATAAACAGATCAAGTTACAGATCATGGTAGTATTTACATAGGTCATAAAATTAATCCTTAATACTGGGTTAATTTATTGTTTTGGTTGGATTTTTTTGGCTATCTCATATACATACTCTGGAAAAATTGCTTTTGTTAAAATAATTATTAAATATTTCTTAAATAAGCGAAATATAGTTGTAATTAATTCATTTTGCTATAGGATTAGAATTACTAGTAAATTGTATTTTTGCCCCAGCACATTGGCTCTTTTACAGTTTAAAATTATATCAAGGATCTATATCTACTTTCTTCAAAAGTAATCATCCCAAATGAATTAATACAGAGTAGGGTAAGTTTAAGCTTTTAAAATATTGGTATTCTAGCTCAGCTCTTGAACATGCAACTACAGCACTTTTCATGAGATTTTTCACTAGAGCCCCAAAGCTCTCTATTTGTCATTTCCACATATTAATTCACAAAATTATTGTAGATTCAATTATACTACTCATATTCTGACCTTTGGACATGGTTCCATCTGTTTTTCAAGACAACTATGATGGATCCATAAATTTATACCCAAAGAGCTCAATCAATTAGAAGTTCTGGGAAAATGTGTCAGGTTCATGCCTATCTTCAGCATGATAACATCACTCATCCACATTAGTTATTCTTTTTCTTTTCAAATTACTTATAAGCCTTAGGTCAGCTTGAAAAAATTGATATTTTCATTTCATGCCTGATAATCATGCCTTAACTGGTGACAATCAAAGATGCAAATTAATTGCAAATTATGTGAAGGATACATAAATTAAAAACTATGAAATTTAAATTATTAATGCAGTAGTAATTCATCTTTCAGATTTCCTCTGCAAAGAATAAAAATTTCACCTATCTTATACTGCTCAATACAAACTAAATTTGATATTTTTTTAAAATATGTTTTTATTTATATCAGAGAGGAAGAGAGAGGGAGTGAGAGAGAAACATCAATGATATGAGAGAATCATTGATCAGCTGCCTCCTGCACATCCCACACTAGGGATCAAGCCCACAACCTGGGCATGTGCCCTGACCGGGAATTGAACCACGACCTCCTGGTTCAACCACTGAGCAACACTGGCTGGGCTAAATTTGGTGTTTTAAATAGAAACATGGACCATTAGATTTTATGATTTTCTTTCCTCCCTAACTTTTCAATTCCTTCTTCCTTTCCCTTCCATTATCTCCTTTGTCTCTGTGCTTTGAACCCTACTCTTTTATGTCTGTCTAACTTTGGCCCTATGTCACTATAGATCTTGTCAATTACACACTATTCTGCTTTAGTTTAAGATGTCATCCTCACTATTTTGCATTTTATGTTATTTACATCAGTGTTTTCAAAGGACTGAATCAGTTCCATCATGACCAAAAAAAAAGCTTGTTTTTCCAAGGGCATTTGCAGGTTTATGGGTATTGTGCTATTATTTCATTATACACACAAAAAAAGTTTAAGAATATATACCACTTCAGTAACATTATTGAGAGTAACTGCTGGGAATACTTCTGCATCTACTATACAGATGACCACAGCAAAGAATGCAAGTAATCAAAAGCTAACTGTGAAAAAAAAAAACTTCGTATGAAAAAGAAAGCCTAGTGACGTGGAAAAAGTATTCAGATTAGGACTAGGTTCTATTCATTATTCTTTGAATAAGGGGACAATCTAAGTTTCCAGACTAGTAAAGTTCTGCTTTACTTGCATTTGTTTTACATAACTTGAGCTCATCCAGGTTTTCAGTGCTGAAATTAACAAAGTGTTTCTACAATAAATTGTGAACATGTCTAACTAATAAAATTGATTTAATTGGAGTATAAGACATTTTACCAACCTTTCGTTTTAGAAACAAAGATGGGTACAATTTCATCAACAAATAACAAATTAATAAAGGAAACCATTTGATAAAATGTATTTTGAGTTTCTCAGATACCAATGTCGCAGAATTCTCAAAGAACATCTCTACAAATTCTAAATCTTGATTTTACCATGAGTTGTGTAACATGTTTTTAAGTAGCATATGTAAATAACCCCAGTAATAGCTAAATTCAAGTGCACATATGTTTAGCAACATTATTTCAGGGGGAAAAAAATGTCACAAATGTTTACCTGGCAAGGTTGTTTCATTTTAATGGCTATGACATGGTATCTGTAACAGCAGAGTTCACAGGTCCAGGAACCCCTCTCACTGATCCACTTTAGCAGGCACAGCTGGTGTGTATACCGAACTGACCCATCACATCGGCAGGGGTTCAACAGCTCCCCCTGAAAACAAGACAGCTCAGTGTGAATGTTTATATTTGTGTCTCTATTTTAAAAATCTAACACTTGCTTTCTTCTCTTTCAAAGCCAGTTACCCACTTCAAACTGTATCCTAGAAAATGAAAGTAAATTTTTATACCTCTGATGAGAATGAAACTGAAGTCTTAAAACTATTTCAAAGATATTGCTTAGAGTTATGACATAAATGTTCTACCAACATACAAACTGTCTGCAAGATGTAGCTCCCAATACTCCTAGGGGAAAGCTGTACTATTAAATCTCTTTAATAACTTTTAAGTGGATGGTCAGATGCATTTCCTCTGCAGTTATTCTTAATCATTGCTAAAGAAGAAATGCATGGCATCCCAGAAAGCAGCTTGCAACAGCTTGATGCTTTTATTTTCTTCTAAAGGTAGCATCATAAATATTGACTTGGGGCACTATATTTCCCGAAAGCCTTCATATTCTTATGCAATTTCCTTACTTTTAAAAATATTAAACCTAATGTTTTCTCAGACCACACATTTTGTAATAGTAATATATTATCCCGATGTATCCATAAGTACTCGCATGCACCTCTAATGGAGTTTATATTTTAGAATTGATTCTAATAAAATACAAAGTACGTAGTTGTCTAAATAGCCCCTCTTTCACAGGGCAAAAGTACATTCCTATTTCTCCTGTGGAAGTGTAACACGCTTATCACATCATGAGATGAAGTCACCAAAATTTGCAAGAAGGAAAGGCGCTGCCCTTCTGGTTTTGACATGACTCACCCCAGTTTGTATTCTAAGACAATCTGCCTCAGGATACATTTGTAGAAAAAGGACATAGGTTTGTTTCTATGCATAAACCAAAATCCATTTGGTAAATAAAAGATACGGCAGTATCATTAAAACACCTGAGGAATGTGTAACTGCAAAACCAGACAGGGGGAAAAAAGTGCAGGTCAAACCCTGTAGTCGTCACCGGGACATTTTCATCTGCCTACACAGAAATGGAAAGGCGAGCACAGAGTACACACCTCAGTCCAGGGACCAGACCAGCCACACAGCGGTGCCACCAAGAAGCGAGCGCTGTCCGTGGTGCTGAAAGTCGGCGTCGCGAGAGACCAGACAGACCATCCTCACCCGAGCCCCGCCGCGGCTGCCCCGGGTCCCGCCGGGCCCTACCTGCTCAGCGCCCTGGAAGCAGATCTTGCAGATGGGCTGTGCTGGTGCGTGCTGGTGCCCGGCA